AGACTGTCCTTGATTTATGATTTTGGTGGTCATCCGTGCGAATTCGACAGCCATAATATGAGCTGCAGTAAGGAACACGAATCTGTATTCTGTATTACTTGCACTGCAATGTCTCCTTCAGAATCAGGGTGCTTGGAATTGTGTGCCCTTAAAGAATTGTTTGTTTTTCCAGACTGGTTAATGCATCGGGAACTTGGCTTCACGTAATCATCACTAAACAAATACCCTTACACCTTTTCCATGGGAATTATCGGAGGTCTAAAATTAGTTTTAAATTGTGCATATATAAAAGCTCCGGCAGGTTTTGTTTTGTTTTTTGTTTTTTTTTAGTTCAGAAAATGCAAACATGCAGCTCTTAGCAGAAGATTCTTGAGAAGCCGGCTTTACCTCACTGGGTGGCTCTGAGCCGATGGCTGGGGTTAACACCCCAAGCACCATCCAACTCATGTGGCTGTGGGAGTCCCCAGCCTGGTCTTCAGAGACCACATCTGAGCAGTTTAGACTTCACATTGACCATCACCCATGGCTACTCATTCTTTTTTTTGTTTTGTTTTTAGTGTTTATTTATTTATTTTGAGAGAGAACATGAGCAGAGGAGAGGCAGAGAGAGGGAGAGAGAGAATTCCAAGCAGGCTCCGCACTATCAGCACAGAGCCCCATGCGGGGCTCGATCTCACGAACAGTGAAATCATGACCTGAGCCGAAATCAAGAGTCGGATGCTCAACCGACCGAGCCACCCAGGCGCCCCAAGACTGCTCACTTCTTGAGGGGCATATGTAACTTGTACGGTTAGTTTTATCTCCCCAGTGCTGTGGAGCAGCTGATGTTCAGTGGGACCCCAGTGTCTTGAAAATGTAATGACCTTTATGTACCCTGTGTTTCAGAATTAGGAAGCACCTCAGAGAGTTAAGATGGACTGGCTGCTTCTAGAGAGTCTGACCAAGGACAGGGTTTATGAATTTGGTAAAAAAAAAAAAAACAAAAACCTATGAAGGGTTCATCTCACTGCTGGCTGAAGAGATTACTATGTATAATGATCCTTGACTTGAATTTATATCACTAGAGATAATTGACAGAATTAATTTCTAGAATTTACAGATGGACAAGAGAGCAGAACAACTTCATAGGAAAATAGGCAAAGGATATGTACCGATAGTCCATAGACGAGGAAACCCAAACGTCTCCCTCTGAATAGAAGGTCAACCTCGAAGAAATGAACGTGAAAATAAAATGAGATAGCACTTTACCCCCACTGGGCCAGAAGGAGTTAAAATGTCTGAAAATCCTGTGTCGGTAAGCAAGAGAGGCTCTCATAGGCTGCTCATGGAGGTAGACATCAGTAAAAGGGCTTTGGAGAGCATTTGGGCTATGTCTAGTAAAGTTGCTGATTTTACCTTGCTCGTAACCAGCAATTCTTGTCGGTTATACCTGGAGTAGTTCTGGTATAGATGCGTGAGTCACACACGAGGATTGTCACCGCCACGTTGCAATAGTGAAAAAAGTGCAAACAACCTAAATGCCCCCAGCGAGAGAGTAGGTGGACAGGGGTGACATAGTCATGTACTAGAATTTTCATCCCCAGTGAAATGAACGAACAGTACTTCGTGTATCATGATTCAAAATTGTGTATCAGGGATAAATCTGCAGAGTGTTGAGCGACATTAGCAAGTTTTGGAATGGCATTGTTGAAAGCAAGTAATACCATATTATATATTTCGTGAGCGCATACACATGTGGCAGTGTTATAAAAATGCATGAGGATGGTAGACGGCGGAGATGAGGTAGGGATCACTCCTGGAGAGAAAAGAAGTAGAGGGGGGTGGAGAGGTGTACAGGGAGCTTCAAGTGTTCTGCAGTGTTTTATTTCTTTGAAAATGAAACACTGATTTATCCAAAGTGGAAGATTTGAGAGCTTGATGGTGGATAAAGGGACCTCTCCTTTTTTTTAATGTTTATTTATGTTTGAGAGAGAGAGAGACAGAGAGACAGAGAGAGAACAGGGGAGGGGCAGACAAAGAGGGAGACAGAGAATCCGAAGCAGCTCCAGGCTGTGAGCTGTCAGCATAGAGCACAATGCGGGGCTCGAACCCACACACTGCAAGATCATGACCTTGGTTCATCGACTGAGTCACTCAGGCACCCTGAGTGACCTCGATTATATTATCCTCTGTATTTTTCTTTACATTTGAGATACTCCAGAAATTTTAAAAAGGGAATGAACTTAAACCCAAGTAAAAATGCTCATGGCATAATTTTTAAGTTTATTTTTATTTATCTTGAGAGATAGCAAGCAGGGGAGGGGGCAGAAAGAGAGGGAGACAGAATCCCAAGCTGGCTCTGCTCTGTCAGTGTAGAGCCTGACATGGGGCTTGAATCCCCGAAACGTGAGATCATGACCTGAACCAAAATCAAGTGTTGGCTGAGCTACCCAGGTGCCCCTCGTGGCATAATTTTTTTTTAATGTTTATTTATTTTTGAGAGAGAGAGACAGAGAGACAGAGTGTGAGTGAGGGAGGGGCAGAGGGAGAGAGAGACACAGAATCCGAAGCAGGCTCCAGGCTCTGAGCGGTCAGCACAGAGCCCGATGCGGGGCTCAAACTCACGGACCGCGAGATTATGACCTAAGCCAAAGTCGGACGCTTAACCGACTGAGCCACCCAGCTGCCCCGTGGCATAATTTTTAAGACCACATTTGAGCTATACTATATCCTCAGAATTACTACTAAAAAAGAGTTACTCTACTTTGCTCCAACAAATGTTTGTTGAATGTTTGGCCTGTGCAGGACTCTGGAATTTTGTTGAGGTTATGCTAGAGAAGTAAGTAGACCCAGTTCTGCCCTCATAGGACTTAGAGGCTCCCAGGTAGACAGGCGCTGGGCAGGTAAAGAAGAGGATCCTGATGGGAAAGGTCCCCACACAGAGTAGGTCGGGATGGGCACCACCCAGAAGGCAGCACGCTAGCTGGTCTGGCTGCTCTGTTTACAGTCATATTCCCCCAGGACTGGGAGATGTGAGGGAGAAGTGTAGTGGGCAGGAAGGCTCTCGTCGAAAGCTTAAGGAGTAAGGACCGACCACTGGGCAGGAGGGCAAGATGGGCTGTGAGGGCATGGGAGTTACGAGGTAGAGAAGGGAGGAGGCAGAAAGGTCAGGGAGAGAGGGCAGGGCTGAGTCTCTTAGTGGAGGAGCTCAATGTTCAGCTGCTGAAAGGGGCCCAGATAACCCTCCCCAGCTCTGTGTCTGTAGGATGCCAGGGGACAAGTAGAGAACTCGGCTTCTCCATGCCTCGCTCATCCCACAAACTCTGGCCCACCTCATAGAAGGAGAGGACATGAGGAGAAGCTCAGGCCTCTCTGAGAGATGTCACAGCTGTAATGACTCCTGTAGTGCCCTAAGGGACCACCGCAGGCCCAGTCAGAAGTTGGGCTGGTCTTGGCTGAGGGAGCATTTCTGAATTCACAGACCCTCTCCGCGTCCTCTACTGCTTGTTTGCCCTTCTTACCAAACAGTCTCTGGCATATTTCCATCACACACAGCCGGAAGTGTGGTTTCTTCAACATGGTCTAGTTCTAAGCTCTGTAAAGGCCAGGAGCTTCCCAGGCTTCTTTGTGTAAAGCCTGCCCATTCAGTGTTCCCTAGGTTCCCTGGGGCCCGTTGTGTGGCAGAGAAACCCTTTCCCTGTGACTGAGTGTCCACAGGATAAACCCACTGGTACTCAAGAGGCAGTGAGGACCGAGGTATTTGGGGTGTGGAAACTGGGCACAGTTGACCTGCCTTGAATCCCGGTTCTGCCATTAACTAGCCGTGTCACCTCAGACAGGACACTTATGTTCTCTCGTGCCTTGGTTGCCTTGTCTGTGAGTGGGGATGATCGATCACAGTACCGCCTCATGGGATTAGAAGAGTTAATATCTGGGAAATGTATACAGTAGCTGGCACCCAGGAATTACTACAGCCGCATTGACTATGGTCTTTTAAATTTTTTTAATGTTTATTTTTGAGAGAGAGAGAGAGAGAGCATGAGTGGGGGAAGGGGCAGAGAGAGAGAGGGAGACACAGAATCCGAAGCAGGCTCCAGGCTCTGAGGTGTCAGCACGGAGCCCCACAAGGGGGTTGAACTCATGAACCACGAGATCATGACCTGAGCGGAAGTCAGATGCTTAACCGACTGAGCCACCCAGGCGCCCCTGCTGTGGTTCTTTATTATGTAACTTGAGTCTATTCCTTGATATCAAAAGAACTAGTTATAAAGAAAAAAAAATTTTTTTCCTTTTTGTTTTGTTTTTTTTTTGCAGCAAAAAATATGTTATCCCTTTACAGTGCAGCTGCCCTATAGATTTCGAGTTTCATATCACTCTGATTCAGTCTCATGAAGCCTTTACCGTTGACCCGTTATCAGGTAAGGAGAATCAAGGTTTCAAGTTTCCAATTTCCTCAGAGTTCTCAGATCAGAGAGGATTTGGAGAGTAGGCCTCAAGTTATGAAAGAGAATAAACTTCATTTGAATATGGTTTTTTCACATGTGTAACAATAGCAAATTTGACGTACCTGACATATTGTAAATTGGGATTGGATACCAGAGAATGAGGACACTTTGGGATCATTTGGGTCATGCAGATCATTTACAATAGCATCCAGGTAAATCTCTTTCACGATCAACACTTGAAGTTGGAAACTAATCCATTCCTAACTCTAATTTTGGCTCTTGGTATATCCTTGGATTTGCATTCATCTTTTCATTCAATTTCAAATAACATGGGAACATTATTTCTTACCAAGCGTTTGGAATGTTGTTGAAAGCTCTTGTGAATTTGCTGCACGTGGTGTGGCCAGTCCGTCTTTGCCTGCCCTAAAGGACATAGATCCTGACACTGCTCAGGACTCTTGGAAATGCCGTCTCCATCTGAAGTGATTTCTGCTTCCCGGTTTCCGTCTCTTGATGTTTGGGTTTGGGCTTTAAATATCTGTCCACAGCAGTCTGCTGCGAACACTAAAATAGTTTTGTTTTTGAATGTCTGGGTAGGAATCCATTAATTTCCTGATTGCAAGTGCATAGATGAGTGTTCAAAGCAGAAATTTTGAATTACTTCTACATTATGAAATGTATATAGATTATTTCCTAGGGAACCAGGAGCCATTCTGAGATTTTGGAAATTCAGTGTAGCTTTACCATTTATACTGCATAAAACAGGACCTGATTCTCTTTCCAGAGAGAAGGTTTATTATTTTTAGGCTTTAAAAAGAAGAGAGAATAAGTGGTTACCAAAATTGTACTAAATAATATTACATTTCTGCTTTTAATTATAGTTGATGTTCTCACTCTAAGCTTTTTGGTAGAGTAATAATAGTAACGCTTAGTAACTATTATATACCAGGCACTATTCTAAGTGATAGATATAGATACATTTTATATATGTGTATGTACCTATATATTAAAAAAAATTTTTTTTAATGTTTATTTTTGAGAGAGAGACACAGTGTGAGTGGGGGAGGGGCAGAGAGAGAGGGAGACAACAGAATCTGAAGCAGGCTCCAGGCTCCGAGCTGTCAGCACAGAGCCCAATGCGAGGCTCTAACTCACGAACCGTGAGATCATGACCTGAGCTGAAGTCAGACGCTTACCGACTGAGCCACCCAGGCGCCCCTATGTACCTATATATTTAATCTGCACTACAACCAGGTAAGATTGGTACAATTATTATTTCCATTTGATAGACATAGAAATGAGGTGCCAAGTGTTTAAATAACTTATCCAGGGACACTCAGTAGTAAGCGGCCGAGGTGGGACTTGAAAGCAGTCATTCTGGTTCCAAAGCCTGTGCACCTGCCTCATGAAATACAAACTGAATTTTTGCCTTAACTCCAAAAGGTTATAAAAATTTGACCCGCGAGGTAAGTTGGTAAAGTGAGCTAGCTCCTGCGATCTTAGTCCAGGCTCTGCTTAGAGATTATGGCAAGAAAGAGGAGGGGTTCCTCTTCTGGCCTGGGCCATCAGACCGTACTGGACCTCTGGGACTGTCCCTGAAAGCCACGTGCTAAAACAGATCCAGATAAATCCCAGTGAGAGGGCATCAGGTCACGGCAGGAACAGGGATGGGGGAGCCTCAAGAAGAGAAAGGTACTGGAGGCAGGCTAGCTGTGTCAGTAACAGGAATCACCGTGGTGTGGAAAGGAACGGCCTTGGCCCGGGTGGCTCCCGGTACATCACCAGAGACGCTTAAATATGAAATCGGTTTCTTATCAAGCAGCCAGTTCACCTTCACCAAAGGCTCAGACAGCAGATGGGGCTTAGAGTAGGGCAGTGCCCCAAGATGTTGAACACTTAGGACAGCTATGAAGCCAAGGGAGCCATCCCTGGTGATTTGCATTTAGTAGCTCTGGGAAGGGTCTGGTTTTCTGTACTGGTAACAGGCACCTCCAGGTGATTCTGATATAGGCATTCCTCAGTGGTTCTTGGTAATCACTGGACAAGGTTCACCAGTAAGATCCTGTCCCACCTGATGGTCTATAAAGCTGTTAAGGGAAGAGAGGGAACCACCGAGATTTCCGAGCAGTTGTGATAGGAGCAGTTTTTTAGGAAGGCCAGTGTAGCTGCAGTGTGCAGGTGTGACTGAGGTGGGAGCAGGCAGGAAACCAGGAAGTCATTGTATCGGGAATGAAATCGCGTAGGCCTTGAGAGCCTGAACTAAGCCAGTTATCGGTGCCAAGGAAAAGAAAGGGAGAATCTGGAAGAAAGCTAGAGGTTCTTGTGGCCAAGTCATACTTCTGCCAAGAATTATTGTCCCAAGACACAGAATCGACGAGAAGGGTTTTGAAACACGGCCTATTCGTAAAACCAGTGGAATACATACATAAGCAATTAAGTGCTGAGCATCGATGAACGACAACTGTACTTAAAAATCATGCAGGTGTGTCCTTGAGCATTCAGATTATAAATTGCACAGCCACATAATTCAGACAAATGGGGCCATGAGCTCTTTGATCCACCTTATAAGCTTTCGTTGCTCTGGTGCTTTGTTTGTTGCTTATCTTTTAAGTTCTTCCCTTAAGTGAAATTAAGTTGGATATACCAGTTTGAAGTTGAGAGAGAGGTGGGAGCTAGGGACATATGTTTTGATGTCACCTAGGTACTGATGGAACATACTGCTGGAGGTCTGGAGATGACATCACCCGGGGAGCAGGGGTGGCCAGAGGAGAGAAGCGGATGGAGAACTGAGACCTGAGCACACAGGCACTCAGAGGACACCGGGGGGAAGTGGGTGCAGGACAGAGACCAGGAGGAAAATCTGGAGAGTGTGAGGCAAGCAAAGCTGTGAGTGAGTGAGTGAGTGAGTGAGCCAGGGCTCCTGAGCTTTGGGGATCCACCTATACGATTTCAAATGTTCTGCGTCATGTGGATGGTGTTGCTGATGTGACTGATATGCTTGTACACAAGCAGGTCTCCTGGGCTGGACCGCTCAGCCTCCTCGGTAGCCATTTTATGAGGCCTGGTGCATTCCTTGGCCCACTGGTCTCTCTGGCATTTTCTTGCTTTGGTTTCCCACTGTGTTAATGTACTGATGCGTCTGTTATACATCTTCAAGGCTATGGAATTTGCTGATGACTTTTACTCACCTGGAATAAAAAAGCTCTGTCTGCGAGGACGGTGACTGCAGGTCAGGTGCATGTAGCCCAGGCAGGTGCTGGGCTTTTCTGACTTGCCAGGCATCTGACCTGACTCCTAGGTCTTATACAGTTGGACAGTCAGGGATCACATTTCAGCCAGTTAAGTCCTTACTGCCCCCATTTTATAAATAGGACCCAGATAGGCTAAGAACCATGGGCTGATTTTACACAGTTAGGGCGTATAGTTACAGACACTGTTTCAGGCACATCTTTAGAGGCGGTGGAGACATCCATGGTCCATGGGGTTATAAAGCAAGTTCTCCTCTAGGAGCTAGAAGCATCATTTATCCATGCCTTCCAGGCATTTCGTGCTCAGGCTTGCCAAATGAAAAAAATTTGAGTAAAGCTAATTCCATTTACAAGATACGAATCTGACATAGTGCCCCTGACTTTAACTCAACTGGCCATTTGCCCACTGGGCATCCTTAAGATGCATGTGTGTGCTATAGCTATCAGAAGCTGGATCTGTTGACTGTGCCAAGATCTTCCTGAGACTGGGGGAAAGGAGTGAAGGATTTTGTGACCTTCTTTACAGTGCTGACAAGAAATCATATACAATTAAAGCATCAAGAACGCTCACTCCGTTGATAATTTTGGAAGAGGCAGCAATACATTTTATTAGTGTTGGAGAGCAGCCAAATGCCACACACAAAAAATATTGTTGAATTTGTTCACTTTTGAACACTTGGAGATCCTGGGCATTCACTTGGTGTCCCATACCCTCAGACGAATGCATGCAATTCATATAAATAGTAAATTGTAGCATACAATGGCTAGTTAAGCAAGAGTTCCTGAGGACTATTGCCCAGAATTCTTATAGAAAGTTTTAATACTTTTGTTCTCTTTTTTCCCCAGTGATGAGGCATAGAGCAGCCATTTGGAAATAATTTTATATTTTGCATTTTCTTATGAAATGCAAATTTATGACAATGTGATACTGATTTGGGAGTAATCCCAGAGCCTCTGCCCTCGCTTTGGACCCAGACTACTTTTTGATTATAAGCAACCCAGCCCGGAGCACATCTTGGCAAAGAATAATTTCCCTTACCCCTGGATGAGCACTAGGATGCCATAAAGAGTGCACCCTACGTATCAAAGCCCAAGGCACCTCCATGCACCTCTTACTCTGGGTGGGCCAGAGGGACTTGACCCCTAGTCCAATCATGTGATCTCCGTTGGATTCATTCATACTCCTGCAGCACCTGCCATGGTGCTGGCCATACCCCAGCATTTACCCATTTAAGTTTCAACAGGAAGTGAGGGTTAACTCATTTTTTTGCGTCTTTTTTCTCCAAAGGCTCCTTCCCCACTGGCTGAGGTATTTTATCATGTAACAAGCCTCACCGGCAGGTGAGAATCCATGAGCAAACCCCTTCCTTCCAGACAAGAGTATGAATAGGGAAGGTTGCCCCTGCTTCTCTCCACCTCACTATACACCTGTTGGTGGGTGAGACAGAAGACCCCCAATCCCAGCACAGACTGAGTAGGGGACAGATCAGGATTGTCAGGAGGATGGTAAGACCTTTGGATCTTCAGCACACAAAGGAGGCTCCCATAAAATGTTTCTTATTGGTAGTTAGGTCCATCATGAATAGCCTCATCCCAGAAAATAATGCTTATTATATGGCTACATAGCGAAATGGAGACACACAGATATATCTTTGGCAAGTGATAGAAGTGAGTGAGATACACCAGCCAAATGCTTCTGATTACCTTTCAGGTCAGCAAACTGGA